CTGTGGAGGGCCGGTGGTGAAGGTTCCCCAACAATATGAATATATTGAAAGCCTCTGCATTGTACAGTTAAAAATGGTTGAAATGGTAAACTGAAGATAAGTATATTCTTCCCACTGCCCCCCACCCACACCAAAGGCAAGAGTAGAGGCAAGGGGAAGGAAGACGTGCGTCCCTGCCAACGTGGGGGTGGGGGGCAGACTTGCGACTCAAGCGATGTCCAAGCACTTTGGATGAACTTGTGAAGAATCATTTTATGAGGCCCTTGACTGATCTGTTTTGTTCATCCCCATCCTCATTGATCAGCTTTGCTTGGGCACACCTCCATTATCATTCACATCACTTTCTTTTTCCTTGACCTCTAAATCTTGATGGTTCCCCAAGAAGCCCTCTTTGAGACTCTCCTTGTCTGCTTGTACCCATGTGGCTGTGTCAGCCTCTTGGCTTCACATCTCGTTCTGGTGCATAAGCTTTCTAGAAATTAACATCTCACTCCCGACCTCTCTGCCAAGCTGCTTCTCAAACTATGGCCGTCTGCTGCTTATCCCTTCTGCATCTCAAATTCAGTTGACCCAAGCCCGACTCATCGCTGAGCCCAGAGCTGATCTGTCGAGTCTCCAGTTTCTATGGAAGGCTCCATCATTTTTGTGGTGCCTCAAGTGTGAGAACATTCAACTCTTGAATCTCCCTTCCTTCTCCCTGCCTTCCAGATCTGCTAAGCCGTCAGCCCCACTGCGTGGTCCACCTGTGTCCACTGTGTCCTGTACAGGTGCCCTCGTTTCCCTGCGTGGGACCTTTGTCTAGCTCAGCCCTCCGCCCCCTCCTGGGTGAGCGGCTGCAACTTCCTGCCAGTCTCTTGGCCTCCAATCTCACTGATGGGATTGCCATGGCCATGCTGGGAGTGCCACTGTGAACCAGCCAGAGGAAAGCCATGGGGGGTTGGGGGGGAGGCCAGTCCTGTTCCCCTTCCTACGGGAACATCTAGAACATCTCATGGGGCTCACTGCAAAGAGGAGCGGGCCACGGGACAAATCACGAAGTCCTGAGTGCGCTGTGGCTGCAAAACTTCCGGGGGAGGGGAGGCTGCGTGAGTGGATGACATGTGACAGCTAGACAGAGTCTCAAAGTCAGGCAAAGCTTGCAGTTCCGGGGGGATTAGCCCACCCGGGAGCAGAAGCCAAACCAGCAGTGGAGGGAGGAGGGGCAGCGGGCCCATTTCGTGGAGGCACCTAGCAGGAATGAGGCAGGGGCCATGTCTGCAGCCTGGTGGCATGGTGTATGGGCCCCTCAGCCCGGGATGTGTCCCCTCCTCACACCTTCCTGTATCCCAAATCCGAAGCAGTCATTCTGCCCCGCTGTGATCTGCTTTCGGAATTCTGGAGCCTTCTATTTCATCTCCCATCCCGTGCTCACCACTTTCTACCTCGGACTATAATCACTTACGCTGCCAGTTCACCAGCCAAAAGCTTTTTGCCGGCAGCATGCGAGTCTGAGGCTGGCCCAGTCTTGGGCTCCATCTAGTCCTTGAGTTCACTCACAACTTCTCCGCTTCTCTGACTCGGCCAGGCGGCAGCTGTCACCCTCCATGGGGCTGCTGACTTCACTGTGGCCATCCCAAGCACCGGGCAGTGATTTCCAGTTCTTCTTCCCCTTGGGCGCTTGAACCCCTGTGTTCTGGGAGGCCCCATGTGTAGTCGTGGGCCCTGAACGGGGAGGGAAAGGGACACGTGTCTCCTCTGGGCCACAGTATTGAGGCCAACATAGAAGCTTGAGTGCTTATTTCCCTCGGGTGTGGCAACTAGCTATGTTTGACATGTCGGCTGCTCTGTCATTCTGGGTCCCCCTGAAAACATCCAATGAGCAGCGGTCCCCTTGCCGACCTGCGGCGGGCACGAGCACGAATGAGAAGCCTTTGTTGTTCCCAGCCACGGATGTCTGAAGGTTGCTCCAGCTGCCTGACCCAGCCCGGCCAGCCAGACCCATTTGCCTCGTCCCAGGATCCGCTCCATATAGGACTGGCACATCACCGAGCCCCGCCTGCTGATGGGCAACCCCTTGGCCCGCGGAAGCCCTGGGAGGCTGTGGGTTTGGGAAGCAGAGTGCTTCCCTCAGCACTTGGGCTCTCTCCATGGCAGCTCACTGCCGAGTGCCAGTAATTTAGATGCAGATGTGCAAGAGCGGACAGTACCTTCCACGTTCCTCCCTATGGGCTGCTTCCTAAATTAATTAAAAGCTGGGGGTGAGCACAGAGGATATTCTATTAACTCAGAATGTTCTTTTTAAATGTTCAAGTCTGCAGCAGGATTTTTCTCCTCACTTGGCCAAGTGGTGTTTTATGAGAGTTAGCGGGATTCCTCCCCTGGTGGGCGGAAGTGTTGCACTTTCCGGCGATGAGCGTGCAACCCGCTTCCCTAGAGAAGCCTGGGCATCAGGAGGGGCCGCTCGCTGAGCTGAACAGCTAGGAAACAGCACAGCCTCGCGCACCAAATGCTCTGCCAGCCATAAGCCTGGCAGAACACAGGTGGATTTTAGCTTCGTGGGGTATGTGGGTATTTTCTGGGCAGCACAAAAAACAAACAAGCCTTCCACGGTAGCTCCGATGGAAGGCAACTGGTTATCTATGGGAAACAACGCTTAAAGACAAAAGCTGTGTCCTGTGTGTATGTGAACGGCTGAGCCTCAGGAACATACGATGACAAGAGAAACGGGCAAGACACAGAGATTTAATTGAAGAAAAACTCCAGGCTGTGATGGGGTGGGAGACACGAAGCGGTAATTAACAACATAATTATTTAAATGATGTTGCAATTAATTAATATCCTGAGTATGCAAAGGAAGGGAGGGCATCTTTCAGCCCAGAAAACTGCTGAATAAAGAAGAGAACTTGGCATTTTTTTAAAAACATCAATATGCAAAAGGCCTTGGTTATCATGACTTCAGCAAAGCTCAAAACACCAACCCAAGAAAAAGGCTTCTTGTGGCAGAGAAGCTAACAAATGAATCGACTTTGTATTTCATTTTATTCTGAAACTTGTAATTCATTTTACTCTCATCTGCGAGGAAGAAGTATTGGGCTAGATAATGACGTTGACAGACATTCAGGTTCATTCATGCTTTGGGTTGAGGACTAGTCCCCCCGGAAGACACTGGGGGTGGGGCTTCTGGAGCCAAGAGCCTCCCTGGGGTGGGCTTCCCAGCCCGTAGAAATTTTACCAAGACTGCTGCAGTGGGAGCGGCAACAGTTGGGTGGGTAGCGTGGGGCTGACTATAATCTGCTCAGGAAATGATTTCCCAAAACCACTGGGAGGTTCACTTGTGTGAGTTAGCTGCTTGGACATAGAAGGGATGTCTGAGAGCAGTAACCATTCCACTGATCACCCTCCCTCCTCCAAGAGTTAAGTGGTCATCCTCATGTGTCCAGGGGTATGAAGATGGCAGCTGGATATGCTGCCATCACTTCCGGAAAGACCCTCTCACTCTCATTTCTGGGCTGCTCATGACCCAGGAAACTCCACTGTCCCCTTCCTAGTTGCAGGACCCACAGCCTCCGCTCGGTGATCAAGATGGCCATCTCGATGAGGTCAGTCTAGAGTCAAGAGACAGAATGAAGTTTATGGCCTGCTCTGAGTCTTGTCGTGACTTTGGGTTTTTGTCTCACTCTCAAAAGAACACCCAGCTCAGTACAGCCGGACAAGGATGGCTTCTCAATCACAAGATATTTGGGGAGAAAACTATCTCTATACCAATGACACATTAACTCCTAGCCTAAGGCTCAGTACAGAGTGGAATTTGGTGTATCTGCCTTTGCTTCTCTAAGCTGAAAACTTCTCTGGCCACAATATCCTGGTCATCCTCACGCCCAAACTGCCTACAGTTCTATCAGCAGAGAAACCTGATTAATTTGGCTTAAGGGGAGGGTTACTTTATTGAGTTTCTGCTCCTAAAGCACGTGACATAAAGACAAAGACACAAGGTGCGTGAATAGCTTTTCCCTTCTTGACCTTCCCCTGGTGGAAGAAGGGGTTCTTCAGCAGACTTGCCTCTTGCAAGTCACACACACAACTCTGGAAGCTGGCATTGTGTAGTCACAGATAGAGTAGAAACTCACCTCCACAAATTTACCAGGGCTCTACAGACTGTGAGGAAATCAACCGAGTTATATGTGGTTGGTGGGGAGACCACTACGAACTCAACAGAAACGTACTATTACAATACAGAATAGTTGAAACTTTTTTTTTTTTTTTCCTAAACTGAATTTGGCCTAAGGTAGAGATCTAAAGGGGGTGGGGAGGGGGGAAGCGTTCACTACCACTAAAACAAACACTGAAGTACTTAGTAATCTACAGAACTAAAGTTTAAGATGAATACTGTCCCAGAGTCAAGGGGGCTGAAATAGGCTTAAGCTGGCTTTGTTTCAATCTCGAAGATTCTCTTCACAGAAAGATGGATTCCAGCTGTGACTTGGATTAAAACACCCCATTCCCCAAAGAACATTTTATGCAGGTGTTTCTTTGATCTGTGTAGGCATTTTTACACAGTTGCTCAATACTTCACGGAACTCACGAAGCTACGCACGACACAGAAGTCATTCTGAAACACGTGTGCCTTCTCTTCTTTACAACGAAGGTTACTTTTGAGAACAAAGACCCTGCGTTCAAACGAATATGGTCATTAACTGTGGTGTGCCAGAAAACATTCGGCATGTTTCGATTCAGCAGAATCATTCCTAAAGAGAGGGGCTGAGTTCTCAGGAGGAGTCAAGACATTTTCAAATGATGAGGAAAGTCAACAAGGAAGCGGGGGCAGATGGGGACACAAGGAGCCCTGCACGACCAGCGGAGTTGCGTGGACACCTCGGAGCGCTCGTGATTTCACCGTAGGACCAGGAGTCTGCATCACGGTCTGCGTCACAGGGGCAGAGAGCTTCCAAGGGTCACAACTAGAGCTTTGTCAAGGCTCTTGGCCTCATTTGCTCCTTCCTGCAGGCTTCTGCAGGCTACTGCAGACACAGCCATGACTCCATCCCACGTCCTTCTCCTCCAGGGTTGTGGAGCTTGATGGAGACGCAACACTGAAGGAAATCACACCACCTCCCCAGAAGAGAAGACTATTTTACATTGTATTTTATATGAACCAGCTTCTGGGCTCTCTACTCTTCTTTTTCTCCTACTCTTCCCCCCTTCTCTTCTTGGCAGCAGATCCATAAAAAGTGAAAAACCACAGAAAACATCACCTTGGGAGACAAGAAAGACTAAGACAGGTCTGGCCACATGACAAGGGTCGTGACCTTGACCCATGCAGGAGCAGTTAAGACTCGTGCTACGGCTGCTGCTGCCCCTGCGCGACACTGTTTGGACAGTTGAACGAGTGCAAAAAGAGCGTCGCTGAGTCCCGTTGGTGTCGCCCGGTTGCACAGCTCATGGTGTGGGAGGTGGTTTCGGAGACGGGCACGAGCTCTCGCTGTCAAAGCTGGCAGCCCGGCCCTGCCACTGTGGAGAGGGGAGAAGGCTGGTTACCCATGGCCAAGGGGACTGGCATTTCAACTTTTGAAACTTCTGTGGCCCATGCACTGAATTCACCCTTCCCGGCTTTTCATAAGCTTACTTGGATTTTGCTGTCAGCCATGCAAAAACAGAAGGAAAAGAGCTGTAGAGCTTCCAGTTTGGAATACCTGATTTTTTTTTTTTTTTTTTAAGACCTACTGCAGAGGTAATGAAGATTTTCTCCACTGTGTGTGTGTGTGTGTGTGTGTGTGTGTGTGTTAATGAGATGCTATGACTGAGCCATTTCTGAGTGCTTCAGCCATTTTTCACACTGAAAATCGGATTATGTTAGCAGCGAAAGAGGCCGTCTACAGAATGTGCCCTTACTGCCAAGAACCCACGTCCATGAATTATTAGCAATTTGTCTGGGAGCTGTTAGCGCAGCTACAAACCTGATATCGCTCGAGCATCCAGCTCTCTTTCTCAGGTTTAATGCTTCCTGTGGGCATTCACACCCACCTTGTGAGGAGCTGGGGGTAGGAGGCGGGCAGCCCCTCCCCCCCTCAGGACCATCCCCTGCCTTCTCCTGCCTCACAGGTTGCCCTGTCAGCCCCACCCTGATCCTCCTCTCAAGGTGGGTGATGTAAGGAGGAGTAACAGAGCGAAGAGGGCTGAGAGTGGATGGACCTGCACGTGAGCCCTTCGACCCTTCCTTAACTGAAAAGCCAGTAGTGCTGGGGCACTGTTTTCTGGGCAAAGATCTGACCCCAGGAAAATTCTTGACCCATCTTGGGGCCGGGTAACTTCAAAGTGAGGCAGTGTCCACTGTTCACTCCATCCTTCCTGGGAGCTGAGGAGACCCAAACCTCTCCCAGGTGCCCGTGGGACAGGGCTCCAGAGGGAGTCAGGGAGGTGGTCGAGGTGGTCTTTCTGAAACAAAGTACGGCCTCCTCTGCTGCCCCTGAGCTCTGGGGGTCTCCACGATGGGATGATGGGCTGAGTAGAAGCTTCTCTCTGCACCTGGGCACGAATGGGGGCGGAAGGGGGAAGGATGCCGTGCTCCCCACAGCACAGCCGTCTCTAGACAGAGCTGAGCCACCTAAGGAAGAGAATGTTTGCCAGCCAGTGTTTCCTACTGGAAATCCACAGCGCTGAGGAGAGACCCCGACCTGCGGGACATCTCCACGCTCCCACTTCTACAGAAAGCCTCTGTCACCTTCCCCAGGCTCGGTCCCTTCGTGTCCCTGTACAGGCCATCCGGCAGATCTTCACAACTAACCCCACACTGGGCCATCGGGTACAGAGGAGGACCACCACTACGTGCCCTAGACCTGAGCAATCTTAGCATGCCCGACCTGGGGGCAGGCCTGGGGTGCCATCCACTCAACTGTCCAGTTCTCACGTATAACAAAACCAAGACACAGAGAAGTCAAGACACAGCTAGTTAGGGGCGGAGCCACCAGGTGAAACCAGGTCTCCTAACTCCCAGCTCCGTGCTCCCTCCGCACCCTCCTGCTGCCAGCTTCGATCCGGCCACAGCCGGGGGAGAAGGAGATGCACGGGGCAAGAGGAAACCTAACGTCTTAGGGGCCACACCGGGTACTTACTCCTAACTCCAGGTGACAGTCTCTCTGCTTGCAGCGTCCACGTGAATGAAATCACAACCGAGGGTTTCCCTGGTGAAATATTTTAAATAAATAAGTGCCTGGTTGTTGAGCCCATGGTGACTTCTGACTCGAGTGCCTCTTAACCAGAAGGCAACACAAGATGCTCACCAATGCTCTCATTTAACACACCTCTGTCTTAGGGGATCTACTCTCTCTGTGCCAGCCTTTAGGGCCGCTGAAAGTTACACAGTGATTCCTGGCTTCTCCCCTGGTCAAGCTTGCCACTTAAACAATCTTAAACAATCTGATTGATAGGCCAGTGTGGAGGAGAAAAAGTGAAATGGCCACACAGGGTACCTTTTTTTTTTTCTTATAATAGCCCAAGTCACGCGGAGCGTAACTGTCCATCCAGGACACATGCAGAAGGCACGCTGGCTTCCCTGCCAGCCCCTGATTGTTTCTGTGAAGACAAACAGAGGAAGGAGATGGGGTTTGGGGACAACAGGAAGGTGAAAGACTCCAGCAGGCTTATCATGGTGGCTCTGAAGTCAAAAAGATCGGCCTCCTTCCCTGGCGCCTGGGAAAGTGATTGTGCCAGGACGCCTGTGTTCCTTAAGACCTTTTGTTGTTCTGCAATGGGGCCACGCTCAGACAGATCTGAAATCTCTGGAAGCTGATCTCCACTTGGCCCTTCCTGATAGAACACCTTGGAGAAGGCTGCTGGTCAGCCTTGGCTCTGTGTGTGGTGATAGCAGTAACACGCAGCAGTTCCTGAAGGGAAGGGGGCCACTGCCACCGCTGCCACCAGGGAAGGAAGCTCGCTGGGGCTTAATCCATTTCTACTCACTAAAAACATCCCAGCAGGGGAAAATGCCTTTTCAGTTCATTTATTCCACTCAACCTTATTTTAAAACCCCAAACAAGTGGGCAAGTAGGGTGCCCTCTGTTCTCATTAATAAAAAAGAAATGATCATGGCACTCAAAACTTCTCGAAGGAAGGTACAATTTAAATAGAGAGTACTTTATAGATGTGTGTACTTTATAGATCTTCCCAGGAGCGGGAGAGTGAGATTTCTGTATGTAGGATATGAATGGGAGAAGCAAGTTCCAGGAGCAAGGCTCTTGTTCAATGTCCACAACTTAACCGAGGAGGCAAGATGGGAGCTTTAAGGGTGATTGAGGGGGGAGGTGTTCGAGTGCAAAACATCACTTGAGCCCAAAGAGGGTTTACTTCCTATCTGCCTGGTAGGGTTTTAAATGCAGTTTTATAAAGATACTCAAACTGTGGGTGCTAAAAGTGTAGGTGAAATCCTAGGTTGCCAAGATGAATGTCATTTTCAGCTTCTTCATATGGAGAAATGATCCGCTGAGCACAAAATGGTAGGATAATGAGAGGGGGAGGGGCGGGCTCGGGAGCTTGGTGTGCGAGGTCAAGAAAAAAGTAAACCCAAAGGATATAAATCAATTTATTCTCTTTTCGTTTTCCATATACTGTTACTTTCCCTTTACTGTCTCATCAAATATTCATTTTCAAGGGCTTGATTCTACTTTATCTTTCTTTCTTTTGTAGTCTGGACTGGTGAGTCAGAGTTTTCAAAGGAATGGGACTTGGAATCAATTATTTGGCTTAATTAGGTTGTATTCACCGTAGAGTGATTCTGGAACTGAGGGCCGGCACCTTCTGGCTTCCCTGCACACACCCCCAACTCCAGCCGCCACGGGCCGGTAGCTTCAGTTTGTGTGGACAGGGCGGCCCAGTCACACAGGGAGGGTTATCTTTCTGAGCTGGTGCCACGGGAGTACTCACTGGTTCTATCCCCCATCACTTAGGGTCAGAGTTTCCTAGAAAAGCAGAGATGACGGGAGCCGACCCCCTCGTTCACCAACCAAGAACCTGGAGAGGGGGACAATGAGTTGCCTAAAGCCCTACAGCCCATCAGCTTACATGTCCCTGCCCCTAAACCACCCTGAACATTTTAGTATGCTTATTCTACTCTTAAATATCTCCAAGGGATTTAAGAGGGGGGAGGGGGAATGGCGCCCTTCATTGGTTGAATCAGGCCTGCGTTCAGTGATGCACAGAGTGTGGACCCCAGGTCATCCTCGGTTCCTTCCAGGAGCTGCCTCCCGTGGAGTCGGAGGGTGGTCGTGGGTGCCTCACCCACACCCTGTAGGGAGCCTTCTGCCTAAAAAGGGGCAGAGGCTCCCTTGGGGGAAGGGAGCTGGAGAGCCGAGGGACCAGTCTCCGTCATCCAAGTTTCACCACTGTGAATCAAGGCAACTACAAGACAGAACCAGGAGCCCTCTGATGAACAGGAGCTTTGTGTGGATGCCTTACTTCTCCATGCTCACCCCAAAGACGTGCCTACCGCAGTAGGTAAATCAGTTAGCCTGGCTCCCAGAGCCCTCTCTCCCTCCGAGCCCTCAGTCTCTCCTAAGACAACTCACACCGCTGCAAGCAGGGAGAGACAGGCCTGGCCACACCGAGAAGAGAAGGCAGAGCTGCCAGATCCTCTGGCTTTGCTGCTCTCGCCTTTCCCGTGTCCCAGAGCCGGGAGAAGGGATTACAGTTAACCCTTGAACAACACTGGGATTAGGGGCACTGACCCTCCACACAGTCAAAGATCTGCTATGACTTCGACTCCCCCAAAACTTGACTACTCATCACCTACTGTTGACCGGAAGCCTTACCGATAACATTAGAGTCCATGAACACATACTTTCTATGTTATAGGAGGTCTATACTGTATTCTTACAATAAAGTGAGAGAAAAGAAAATGTCATTAAGAAAGTTGTAAGGGAGAGAAAATACATTTACAGTGTTGTTCTGTATTTATTAAAAAAAAAAAAATCCACACACACGTGGACACGCACCATTCGAACTGTGCTGTTCAAAGGTCCATAGTCCTCTGTTTTTAAGGTGACTGCTTTTAAGCTGAGGGGCCATATGGTGTAAGGGTTAAAGCTTTATTTATTTTGTTTATTAGTCAGTTTTCCCATTTTAACCTCTGGACTTCCTAGGCTTGAAGCCTGGGATGAACAAACAACCACCTATCTTTTTAGGGTATGGACTGGGGTGTGAGATCCTCAAATTGAGGTTTCAGGCTCGCCTGGCTACCCCCACATCCCAACCCTTTGAGAAAAATCAGGCCTGGGAGCCACCAGGATGATAATTTGCAGGATCTCACACTGGTGGAGTTTGGTGGAGGGGGAGCCGACTGTAAATATCACGGGAAGGGACATTTTCTTTTGCCACTGAGAGAAATGACTGGCTGGAGATTATACAGCAAGTTCGAAGGGGCCGAGTTTGGAGCCCAGGGCTCAGGACTCCTGGGTAGTGCTCCACGTGTTCTATCCCTGTTAGGACCCCGTCAGAGAGCGTGACGCCTTGCAGCCATGCTCTTTCCAGCCGTGGGAGAACCAGCTTTCATGGCAGCAGGATCTCGTCTCTGGCCATCCGCATGGAGGCCATGAAGACTGCCTGAGGACGGCCTGGCTAGAGCCTCAGGGAACATAGTGATTCAACAAGGGTAGAATTTCTTGCCAAGTTCTGAGCTCACCCTCGTGGGGCTTTCTCCCAGAGGACCGAGTTGGCCCAGGGGGCTCTGTGAAAGCATTCCGGGCCTGGCACCAGGGAGCCGCTGGGAGGGCTTCCTCCCGGTTTTATTTTTCCATTTAGGACTCAGTCACTTTCAATATACTCAACATCAGAGGCTTTCTGTCAGGCAGCTCCCCCCATCCTTCTCCACCTCCTTCCTGCCGCTGACGCGCACCCCGGGAAGGAGCAACGCAGGCGAGGTCACACAGCCGCTGACTGCCATTCTCCAGCCCGCGTGGCCATGCAGCAAACATGCCAAGGGCTGAGCACGACCTCACCCACCTCTTTGAAGGATTTCTTTACCTCCACCAAGGAGTGCCAGTGTGCGATGGGCTTCCGCGGGTACGCCAGCATCTCGTTCCAGTGGTCCCGGCCCAGGCCCTCAGCATTGATCCCCACACGGCAGACTCCTATGATCTCATTGTGGCCCACTCTGGGGGAGAAACAAAGGGCCTGGAGCTGGTGACCGGACATGCTGCCAGAAAGGGAGGTCCGGGGTCTGGGATTCTGCCTGGCAGGGCTAACTTGGAGTGCTGAGCTCTGAAAATAGATGCTTGGCAAGGCCTCTCAGACTATCAGCGGCCGTGAAGCTTTGCCCAGCCTCCTTGGGTGGACACTGACTCAGACAGATGAGAAAAAGGTTATAAACGCCTTTGGGATCTCAGGAAATGGTGGGCAGATGGCCTGACTTTAGGGAACAGGAGAATTTCAGTCTTTTCTCTTCTTTGACTCAGCTAGCACATCACACCCTCGCTCGAGACATCGGCATTTGGAAATAAATCACCCTGCTCTAAGCACCATTTCTCCATACCCCCAGTGGTTAGCATGTGATTTACTCACTTAGCAAGAATATCAGTCTTCACGCAAATATGTTCAGCGAGTACCTAGTATGCCCGAGAACTTGTGCTAAAAATCCTACATGAAGGCTTTACTGCATGTTTGTTTTGTGGTTTTTTTTTTTCCCCTCCTTCAGTTGGAGTGAACTGGAGAGGTGTCATGGTGGCTCGGGGCGGGGGTTGGGGCGGGGTTGGGAAACATTTTTGAGCCAGCCTTGATGGAAGAGAAGATTTGACTAAGTGGAAGAGAGGAAATCCATGCAAGGAAGAGGAAATGAAGTTGGATGATGATGCTGGGTCCAGATTCTGGAAGGTCTTGAGAAACCAGGGGAAGGGCCTGGATTAACAGGAACCACAGATGGTTCCAAAGAAAGGGCAGGTTCCGAAGAAAGTGGTCTTTAAAGAAGGTGAGCCTCCCATGCATTGGCTGACTTGAGTCAGGGAGTGATGGAGGCCGTCTGCTGGGAGGCTGCACAGCTGTCTGTCAGTGGGAATGGTAGCAGCATCAGAAATGGAGAGGAGAGGTGCTCAGACTTGGTGCCAGATGGAGGAAAAGGAATCAGCAGGAGCACATTCAGGGAAACTGATGGGTGGAAATGGGCCTGCTGGGAAGCAAAGCATGAGCTTTTGCTCAGGGGAATCCAGGCTCTTCCTCAAACTTCTGCACCCTTCTTGGGTGGAGCCAGACTCGAGGCCAATGGGCTCCTGAAACCCTGCACTGCCCTGGCGTGGGGGTGAGAGGCAGGAAACCATGGCCCTCCGGGACCCTCACCTACCGATCATAATCCATAACCGAGATGAGCAGACTGACTTGATCCATGTTCTCTGGGGGGATATCAAAGATGATGGCTTCATTGTAGACAGGATTTAGAGTGTTTTTCTTTATGGTCGTTTTCTTCTTCTTCAGTCTCCGCCCATCACAAAGCAGGGATACTTTGACATATGGATCTGCACCAGTGGGAGTGATGGAAAGGGAAGGGAGCATGTTAACCAGATGTCCTGGAACATCATTTGCAGCAGAGGGATGGAAGCCATGGACCTACTGTTGCTCATCAGATGGTACCAGTGGGTTGTTAGGATAATTAAACCACCTTGTATTTATGCAGCACACCTGTCTCTGAGGACACTTTGTGCTTCATAAAACACAGAGTCTTTAGCGACCTCAGGATTATTGGGAGAATGCCTAATGGACTTTCACCAATGGTGAAGCTGGCCTCAAGTCAGACAGGACACCTGCCCGTGGGGATGCGGTTCACGGCCCCACCTCCCAGCTCCGTGATGGCCAGCTGGCTCCGAAGGGTGGTGAAGCTGAACAAAGGCACCCTTCCTTTCACCTGCTTGGAGTCCTTTCCTCTGGGGTTCGTCAGCATTATTAACCAAAGGATAAGGGGAGGGGGTAAAAACAGAAGTCGATGACACGCAAGGAGTCGCAGCTGTCAGAGTAAAGGAATGGCGACAGTCGCAATGCTGTTCATGTCCTCCCACCTGGCAAGAGGATTATGGGTCTCATTGTCCCAGCAAGCTCATTTCCAGCTGGCATCAGGAAGGACCCTGCTCTCTGCTTCCCCGGAAGCCGTTTCCTGCCCACTTTGGGGCAGAGGAGGAGGATGGAGCTGTGCTGGGGCCCGGAGTAAGGCGGGTTCCTGAGATTCGGGGCAGTCCGGTGACATTTCACTGCCCAGTGGGACCTTGGATCCTCTCCATCGCCAGAGGAGATAGCTTTTTACTGAGCCTCCACATGCCCCCCTCCCTGTCCCTTCTTTAGCTTTCTGAATACGTTTCATGGTCACCCTTCTACCCTGAAATTTCCCACTCATCCGAGTGAAGGGACACCTATTGTAGCTCATAGCACAGGTGTCTCAGGCACCATCATAATTGTTATTTATGCGTCACAGCTCAAGAAATGGAGAGTGACTCACAGGTAATAACAGCTTCTGAGATGCTGATATACTGAGACACCTTCTTGCCTAGGAGCCAGGGTTCCCAGGAAGCCATCAGGGCGGGGGGTGGGGTGTGGGCCGAGCGGCCGCTGCTTGGAGCCTTGAGGCCCAGGCACGTGGTTCTATCTCCTGGCCGCTGAGCACCCGCCAGGCCCTCATGCTCCCTGGACATCGATCACAGGGCAGCTGAGGCACCCAGCTCTGGGGGAGCTAGAGAGAACCACGACATGTGAGAGGAGACACTGAGCCTCGAAGGCATTGCCGCAGACACCCAAAGGAGCTGCGGACGAACTAACGTGACAGGGCAGCCATGCCTTAACCACGGGGGCACTCAGGTTTACGAGGGAGCTGGCAAGACTGTGATTAAGCAGAGGTGTTTAATCGACCTGCTGTTTCCAATGACCCATTTGGAAGGCCCTGCTCTCAGGGGTGTTGTCAGTAAAAAGGAAGGTGGGGTTCCTAGAACCTCTGTGAGACAGCTTTCTGATGTCGGAGGGCTCTATTCTCTATGGATATGCCCAGGGCAGGGTCGAGGTCCGAGCAGTCAGGTGGAGAAAGCTTGTTACAAGACCCATCACTAACACAGCAACGTCTACACTCCGTAAGGTAGACACTGCCTTGGAAAGCGTCTTCAGGCTTGAGGCTGCCCGAGTGCTTTCCCAGCCCTTGCCATGCCCATTTCCATGCATTTCCACAGCCCAGCGGTGTCCCATGCCACCTATCTTGGAAAAAATAAGACAGAGCCAACTGTCCCAGAGGCCACTAGGCAGATAGCTGGCTTATCACCAACTGGGAGAGTCTCAGCTTCCTTCCCCCACTCTGTTCACTCCTACGAGGCATATCCATTTATAAAACTCAGTGGGTGTAGCTCCCTTGGAGAGACCATCAATCTCGTGATTGTCCAAGAGGCCAAGCAGAGAGATGACTGTTCCTTAGTGTGTGGCTTCCAGCAGAATGCTGGCTCTGTAAGACCTTGGAGGTTGCTTGCTCTCTAAGAGCCTATGAAGTTCCATGCAGCTGAGGGAGGAGGCACAAAGCCTGGCAGTACCTTTCACCCCATTGTCATGGGAACCATCACAGTCCAGCATTCAGTATGTGCCAGGCACTGTGCTGAGATTTATGTACCTTGTGTCTTTTAAGTTTCCCACCAATGCTATAGAATATCTATCATCATCATCCCCTTTTACAGATAGGGAGATGGAGGCTGGAGAGATTCAGGAACATGCCTCGGATTTGAACCTAGGTCTGTCTGACTTCAAAGTTTACATTTTATTTTTTTTTATTTTTTTATTTTTTTTAAAGATTTTTATTTATTTATTTGACAGAGATCACAAGCAGGCAGAGAGGCAGGCAGAGAGAGAGGGGGAAGCAGGCTCCCCGCTGAGCAGAGAGCCCGATGCGGGGCTCGATCCCAGGACCTTGGGATCATGACCTGAGCTGAAGGCAGAGGCTTTAACCCACTGAGCCACCCAGGTGCCCCCAAAGTTTACATTTTAAACCAATAGACTCAAATCACTAAAGACCAGATGTGGAAAAGATGGGTGCTGTTGCTCACCACCCTTTTGCGGTGTCCTGATCCTTATTATTATTTTGTGATCATTCCAGTGGATGGGCTTAGAGAATTGACTCAGGACTAGTAAAATCAAGGAGACTAGGTAGACCCTCAGGTTTGGTGGCCAATGTCATAGAAATCAAGAACAGGCAGTGAGCTCCACTCACTCCCTGCTTTAGCCCAAGATCCAAGCAAGTCTGGACCGACAGCAACCTCAAACTCATCCTCAAAAACAAGAGATCTTGTTTGAGAGGCCCCCGGCACACGTGCCCCACTGTTTCACCCTCTGACAAGGCTCCTTGCACTATTCATTCATTCATTCATTCATTCATTCATTCAAAATATATTTATCCAAAGCCTAGTGTGTTGCATGCTCTGTTCCAGACACTTGCTTACATCTGTGAACCAAACAGGCAGAAATCCCTGACAAAAAGAGGACCCCTGAATTTTCAGAATCAAACTGAGATTTAACAGCAGATTCCAAACCCAGGTAGAAAAGAGGGTCAATTGCAAGAGGAAGATTAGAATTTAGCGTGAGAAAAATCTCTCCCCCCAACCCTCTGATGTGGAACGGCCGTTATGATTACCTCAGTGGCTTTGCCGTAAGCTCTCTCTCTAGCACATCAATTTAATTACACCAGAGAAGATAGTGTGGGGACTTAGGCAGCAAAATCCTATTTCCCTCAGCAGGCTTGACAGTCCTCAGCGAAATTTCTGTCCCCAGCATGCACTTATTTTGATATTGAAATGAAATCTACATTGGCTGTATTTTTGGAGGACGCTGACTTGGTGGGGCCTGAGAGCTTTGCACACGTCGGAAGAGGCTCTTTAAGCTCTTCCCGGCGTCCTCCCCGAAGTGCAGTGGGAGCTCCAGCGGAAGGCGGCATTAAGGTGGACGCTACCTTGGGGAGCTTTTGGCCTGGAAGACATGAGCGCTGCACAGAGATGGGGGGCTGGGAGCAGAAGCTCCGAGGGAGTCAAAGCGGCAGCAGACACACATTACCTCAGCTTTTTCCAACTACCTTTCCCCAAAACCTAATTTTTCAAGGTCTAATACCTCATCTTCTTCCAGCTACACCAGGTCACACCTGGGCCCGGAGGTTTGCAGCTGGACCATCCCCTCTTTATGGTCACTGTGCTGATACTAAGGGGTTTTCGAGGAAAATAAATAATGAATGAATAAAAGGAAACATCAGCACCTCTGGAGTGGTTTGACACTGGAAATCTGTTTCATCAGAAGAGACCCTTGGGTGATGGGTCTAGGGAAACAAGCCTTTCCCTACATTTGCAACTCCGAGCACAGCCCAGGCTGTGCTGCACGTCTGCTCTTTGGGACACTTCCCGGGCTAATGTGAGCCGACAGGGGGAAGGAGGCTCCTGGGACTCAAACAATGTCTCTGTTATATCAAAACTCCAATACCTTCTCTGACAATGACTTATAGAATCATGGAAAGGATCACGACTTACAGAATCACAGAAAGGATCAGTCTCTGCAGTGGCCCCCAACCAAGCATGTCCTCAGTTGCTAGAACGGGACTTATTCTGTACCTAACAGCAATCCTGGTGCAGGGGCTGGGGCCATGAGCCCTGCAGAAAAAACTCAGATACAAATACACTTGGCTTTGCCCCCTTGACTAGATCTGTGGGGCTGCCGCAGGGCCGTGCGGACCTACAAACATTTGCACGCTCAAACTTGACAAAACCCTTGAAAGTTCTGGGGCCTCATGTAACTAGAAAGATTTTCCTTGTTTTTTTTTTTTGTATTTGTATTTGTATTTGTTTTTGTTTTGTTTTGTTTTTTTTTGTTTGTTTTCCCCTATGTGTTTATTTCTTATTCTCTCTCCTTTAAGGGAAAATGACAGGAGGTGCTAATGTCAATTGGCAGGCCACTCGGGGAGAAGAAGTACCTGAGTAGCCTGTGATGTCCATCGCCTTGAGGTTCCGACATTTGATCACTGTGAGGGTGAGCCGGCCTGCTGTGGGCAGGTAGCACAGGGAGAACATGATCTCTCCCAGATCCACACTTTCCTGCAAAAAAGCAGACAAGAGGGCACATGAGGGGCACATGGCTCCCAGGGCCGCTGCTGAGGGCCACTCTGGGACCTAGGAGAAGGCTCTTTGAGGCAGAGTGCCTTGTCTTTTGGACCTGAGGGTCTGGCCTCAATGCTGGGAGTAACTGGGAATAAAAGACAATGAGAATGATGTTGCCTCTTCAGTAGAATCTGCCCTGTGCATTGTTCCTTCTCCACTCTGCTCAGATGCTGGTCCCAGTCCTCGTCATACTGCTGGGTCCTGCCCTGCCCTCCATTGGCCCTCGCCTGCAGCCTCCAGACCAGCAGCCCCGGAGTGGCCCAGCCCCATTCCCCTCCAGTTTGCCCTTCTCAGCCACTGGTCCCCTTTGACTCCACACCCCAGGCCCTGCCTGGCCGTGGGCATGGCAGTGTCCCACACAAGACACGCTCCGGCCAGCCGGGGCTCTCTCCTTGCAGGTCTGTCGCCAGCCCCCAGGCTCAGTTGTCCCTCACCAGTCCCTCTGCCTGACAGCTTCCCCGCCTCTCCAGAGACCCACCCAGCACTCTAACCTCCAGACCTCGGCACGAAAGCAAAAGGATCGTGACCTTGCTCAGGCCATGCTGCCTAGCAAGGAGATGTACACTCCCCATCCCGGGTCTGTGCCAGGCCTCAGATCCACCTTGTCCTTTTCCCTCAAATGTGACCATCCCTCGAATATGACCCGGCAGGGAGTATAGCACCTCCTGCCCCCGGGGGCGTCCAATCCTAGGAAGTTTCTCAGTAAACTTCAAAGACGGCAAGAATGTCTGTCTGTCCAGTGAAACAGCACTTGGCTGGACTGCTTCTTCTCCCTGCTCCCCACTTGATGGAGGAGGATGCTGTTGTTGCCAAAACTACCCCCAGGCTCTGAGGCTGGTCTGGTGCACCCCTCCCTGGCCCCCAACCCTGGGTGAAGGAGGAGGGCAGGGTTTGGAGGGGCTCTGATTTTGGATGGGGCCATCCGCTCGCTCATTCATTCAGTCAATCGACAAGTGTTCACTGAGCGCCTGTTGTGTGCAAGTGTTGTTCTGTGCGCTAGAGATACGGGAAAAACACAAAATACACAACCCTCCCCCCACCCCGTCCCAACTGCCCCGCGGAGCTTACATTTTATTCAGGCAAAGGAAAAGAAAAAAGGTAAAAAGTTAGACGGTGAAAAGTATCGAGGAGAAAAATGTAAGGCAGGGAAGGGGGATGCGTCATGCTCGTAGGGGAGGCCATAGTTGTTTGAATTTTAGACAGGTTGGCCGGGGCAGGCCTCCCTGAGGAGGCGACATGTGAGAAAGAGAGCAGTCAAGGGTGACACCAAGATTTCTGTCCCTTCTTCTCATAAAGAACGCCCCCTTGTTCAGGACTCCTAGAAACACCTGATACCTGGCCCCAGCTGCAGATGAATCCAAGCCTCTCTCACCGTCTTCCAGAGCATGCGGTCCCAGGGCTCTCCTCTAGGTGGGATGGGTGCCCACCCTCGCTCTAGCGCAAGATTCAGCCTTGGTCTTTTTATTTGCCCCCACCGTTGAATCCCAGAGCAGTAGAAGGGGAACGCCCCCAGCTCCCCAGGAGGGGGGCTAGGTGGGCAGAGCCGTACAGTCCTTAGAGGTGGGACCCCCTCCAGCACACAGAACCCCACAGCGGTGCAGAGCCAGTGAGCTGACACCCACAGCCACGAACTCTTATGTGCACAGCAACTCTGTGAGGCACGAAGTGTCCTTATTCCTTGCACTTCACAGGCTGAAGAGCTCAGTGTTCAAAAAAGCAGGTCTCAAAGCTCTGCCCAGGCTTACACCGCTGGTGGGAGATGCAGCTTACTCCCCACTCTTAGGAGAGCACTCCTCCCACTCACTTTATCTTGGAGCACCGTCAGGCTCACCCAGGGAGCACCTCAAGGTGACCCTGGTTCCTCTAGAACTTGGCTCCATGCTCTGTGGAGATAGAGTCCCCCCTCAGCACACACACGGTCTTGGGGGGGGTGTACAGTTTGAAGAAGGTGCCAGGGTCCCCATCTCCCTCGGGTGTGTCTCCTGTCCCCCTAGTCCCCTAGTCCAAGGAGGGAGACAAAGGAAATGGCCCTGTGACATGGTGTTGAGGGAGTGCAACCTTCCCCTCATGTAGCAGGTCCCTGGTGCACCTGGCTGGAAGTTCTACCTCTGACCAAGGCACTGAGGCATGAGGGGGCCCCCAGCTCCCTTTATTTCCCTCGTAAGCCTCGTAGGTTCATTCCTACCTGAAGCTAGAGAAACCTTTCAGACTCAGCCATGTCTCTGCCATATGCCAAGTCTTTTGCCAAATCATCTCCGTGAATCTTACTACAGCCCCCCAAGGTAGGTGCTCTTATCCCCACTGCAAACAGGAGAAAAGGACTGTTTGGTGAAGTTAAGTAGCTTGCCCAAGTTAAGCCACTTGCGTGACTAGTGAGTGCTCTGGTGCCAGTTTTTACGGATCCAGGCTGCTGCTCAAACACCCCCAGAGGCTCCCCCTGTTCGGCTTCTGGAATCAAGAAGCTTGCGTCTTAGCTTGCATCGAGGGTCCCATCTTAGTTCCTCACCTCACTTCCTCTCTACTCCTCTACCCCAACCCTCCGCTCCACAGGGCTGGTGGAGCTTCGGTCCCTTTTGCCAGAATGTTTCTCCTCCGGTCCTGGCATGGACAATCCTATGCTTCTTGCAGGGGTCTTCACCCAGGGTCCCGCCCACGGAGAGCACCTCTCCCCCCTACCCTGGCCGCACCTTCTGCCCCTGAGCCATGGTGTTACCAAGTCCCCCCTCTGCTGCCCCCGTGCCCTCCCACTAGCCTCTGGTGACTGGAGGCCCCTTTGGGTCTAGCTTTGCTTTACACCTACCCCTGCTTCAGAAGCGGCCACGTGTGAGAGGAGCTCCATGAACGCAGACTGAAACACAAGGCCCGGTCTTCGCCAGGAGAGCCCTGGAAGGAGTGCTTCCCAATGTCAGTGGCCCCTTCTGAAGGGGCTGGTTTCCCTGCCACTGTCGCCCTACAATGCACAGTGGCTCTTTCAAGGGCTGTCTTATTTGGGGGAGTCCAAGCTAATTTGTTTTGGACTCGGGAGACTGGCTTGGGGTGTGGGGGAATCACATGCAGCTCTCTGCGCTGCTCTCAAAGATGGCTCCCTCCAGGGGAGCACCAACCCAGCAGGGCCCCCTCTTTTTTGCAGGGGTGCCCTTTCTTGACAGGACTGTGGCAGCTGGGCAGCACACGGGTGCTGAGTCTACGGCGTGGTGTGGGGCTCCCTACCCCCACTGTGGTCCCTGCTTCTGACCGTGAACTCCTTTCTTCATGCACAGTAAAGAAAACAAGCCAAGATCCACCCCCATGACTTGCAGGCAGAGAGACAACAGGAGCCAAGGGGCCTGCAGCTGGACCCAGGACCTTCTGCCGTGGGTGACTGGGCCTCACGGGGCCCGACCGCAAGTTGGATGCCCTTGGCTCAATGGACGGAGCGGGTGTTGTTCCCCTGCCCACACAGGCAGCAGAGGACTGGCCTGTTTGATAAAGGAAAATAAAGAGGTTACTTTTGAGTAAATAGAGGGATGGGGGGCTAAGCAAAGACAGAGTCAGCATCTTCTGGCAGTCACCTCCCTCTCTGGGAAGCTCAGCCCCTTGGGTGGCCTTGCCAGATCCTTGCTCTGCCCCACCCCCTCTCTTAGGAGGTTTCAGCCCCAGATCCTATACTCCTTGCTAGTCCTTTATGCTCATTAGTGATGCTTGAGACTTTGGCTTTAATAAAACCAGGGTGACCAGGGGCTGCAGAACAGCCCGCACATTATTGCTTTCATCTTCACTGGCTGTCAGGGGAGGCTGCCTTAGGGCCCCTGATTGGTAATGAGCTCCCCAGTGATGGAGAGGTCACTGCTGTCCAGAACTTGGCAGAAACCAACTTGGCCCTCTCAGCTGCTAACCTGCAGGCTGATGGGGGTGGATGGGGGTCCAGGAGCACTGGCTCTCAGTCCTGGCTAGAGTTTGGAAAGGGCAGAGAGCCGCAAGGTTCTCAAAGGCCCCTCCATGGCACACCGCTACTCTTGTGGGTTGCCCGGTAGGCTATCTGCAACAGAGTCTCCTCCTCTTTGATGTACTCACAGAGCCCTAAGCATAGAAGAGAATTCCTGTCTGGGGGTTGCCCAGGAAAAAAACAGTGAACCACAAGTCAGGAGCCACCAATCAGCCACGAATCCTTCAGCCACCAATCAGCCACGAGAATTTGGGCTCGTCCTTTCACATCTCTGTAACATGAGAGGATCATCCTAAACATTCTAGTCCCTCCCTGCCAGCCATAAAAACCCAGGATTCACACTGGAAATCCTACCATCAACATCAATGGAGACGACCCAAGGATGCCTGACTGTTGTCTATAGCCCGCCTCAAGGAATCTAGCAACTTCGCCTTGAAATCCAAACGCTCTCATTCCTTCGGTCCCCAATACCCCCAAGTGTTTTAGTCTTCTCCGGTGCTTTCTCTTCCTCTCAAATAGGCAATGAGTGGCATCCACACTCCGGGTCTGTCTTGGGAATCCAGGCTAAGCGAAGTAAGAACCATGCTTCCCCATCTCTTAGAGAACGCTTGTCTCTTAATCATTAAGTGGCTTGTCAGAATCTCTCATCATCGGCAGAGAAGCAACTGCTACACTTTTAGGAAGGCCACAGGAGACCGAAAAGGATCTCTGAAGCACAGGGTAGGAAGTGCGGCTAAGCTACCCCAGGGCAGGGCGGCCTGCAAGAGAGACGGGGTGGAAGCCACTTGCCTCCAATGGGTAGAAAAACATCCAGGGAGCAATCCCTCTGTGAAGGCCTGCGCCTTGGAATCGGGGTAGAGCTGAGTCAGAGGTGGAGGCTGGCTGGCTCTTGGGGCTGGGTCCTTTCCTCTGCCCCCAAAGTACCCCAGACCTCCTCTTCCGTAGCCAGGCCACCACCCTAACTTTCCTATCACTCATGCGGATTCTGTGACAAATGCTCGGTTTGCCTTAG